TTGTTGAAGACTGGAACGAATTGGATCCCCTTCACTTATTCATGTCTCTCTCTCCTGTTAAGCCTCTTCACGCTGCCTTGGGGGGGACATGATAATATTACTCAGAAAAACACACAGTTATACACATTTATACACATTTATACACATTCCTGTATACAATATAGACATCTTTACACGTCTCTATACATTATATACATTTCTTCACGTACGGGTACAAAATATACACATTAATACACATCTCTGGGTATACCATACACATAGGTATACACAACACGTATATACATATCTATACATACCACGCACCTCTATACACATCCTTGTACACAACATTCACGTCTATACACATTCCTGAAGACATCATAAATCTATACACAAACATACACCTCTATTATACACCATACACATCACTATACATCACCATTACCTTCACAACACCTCAGATGATGGTGACGAAACTCTCTCTCTCTCTCTCTCTCTCTCTCTCTCTCTCTCTCTCTCTCTCTCTCTCTCTCTCTCTCTATCTTTCTCTTTGTTTACATACGTCAGCTGATTTGTGGAGACAGATTGGCTCTCCCTCCTTCCTTCCCTCCCTCCCTCCTTCCCTCCTTCCCTCCTTCCCTCCCTCCTTTCCTACCTCCTTCCTTCCTCCCTCCCTCCTTTCCCTACCTCCCTCCTTCCTCCCTCCTCCTCCCTCCCTCCTTTCCCTCCTTCACCTCCCTCCCTCCTTCCCACCTTTCCTCCCCCCACACCCTAGCTTATCTTCCTCCACCCCCTCCCCTCACCTCACCTGTCACGGGCACACCTGGATGTTACCTGCCCTTCCTCTGCTGATTGGAGAGTTGAACACCATGAAACAGTTTTAACGTAGAGTTAAATTTCCTCTTAGAATATTATCATTTTTTTCCTCAGTCACATAAACTCGTAAGATAAATATTTCTCATAAGTTAAAAATGTTAAATTAACTTTGTGACTTAAGTTAAAACAGAAATATATCGTCCCCCCAAAAAATTATATAGAAATTATGATTTTTAATTATTTTTTTCCGTAGTTTGGTTTTGGTTAGGTTTGGTTAGAGTTAGGTTAGAGTTAGGTTAGATTAAGTTATAGTTATAGAGTGAGTTAGATTAGGTTAGAGTTTGGTTAGAGTTAGGTTAGATTAAGTTATAGTTATAGAGTGAGTTAGATTAGGTTAGAGTTAGGTTAGGTTAGATTAGGTTAAGGTAGAATATTTAATCTTGAGGTGAAATTAGCAATACGGTTAGGTTAGATTAGGTTAATTAAGGTGAAATAAGCATTAGGGTTAATTTTCAGGTAATATAAATTAAAGTCTTTAACCCTTTAAGAGGTCGTGTCTCACTGAGGTATTGTCTCCAGGTGAGAGAAAACTTTTATATCACTTTAACGGTTAATTAAGTGTGTTACAGGTGTGTTGACGTGTGTTACAGGTGTGTTGAGGTGTTACAGGTGTGTTGACGTGTGTTACAGGTGTGTTGAGGTGTTACAGGTGTGTTGACGTGTGTTACAGATGTGTTGAGGTGTTACAGGTGTGTTGACTTGTGTTACAGATGTGTTGACGTGTATTATAGTTGCGTTGAGGTGTTACAGTTGTGTTTTTTGTGTGAAACAGGTGTGTTGAGGTGTGTTACAGGTGTGTTGAAGTGCTACAGATGTGTTGAGGTGTTATAGTTGTGTTGAGGTGTTACAGGTGTGTTGAGGTGTGTTACAGGTATTTTTTTGTGTGCTACAGGTGTGTTGATGTGATACTGGTGTGTTTTGTGCATTACAGGTGTGTTGAGGTGTTACAGATGTGTTTTGTGTGCATTACAGGTGTGTTGAGGAGTTACAGGTGTGTTTTTTGAGTGTTACAGCTGTCGAAATCCTTGAGGAAAAAAAAATCCTTACGGATGATTGAGGTGAGCACGTGTTCTCTACGCTAATTACCATACTTGAGTACCTGAATAATAATGAGGGCTTAGCTCGGTCTACCTGTGATTTATTACCTGGCGTATATATAGTCATTAATACTTTAGAGTAATTTCTATAAACAGGTAAGATATATATAATCTACCTGGTCATACATTAAGTGAGTCACCTGGGAAGCTAAGTGTATATAATGAAATACTGAGTAATATAATTTTTATAACTGAAAACCTTCTATGAGGCTACTTATATCAAACAAATTATTTATATATCGCGTTTTTATTCATTTCCCAAGTAATGTATAAATGATATATGAATACTATAACAGTTAGGTAATGTATAATGTATATGTATTCCGTATGAACATCTAAACGAAGGTGGTATTCAGAAATTACTATGATGGTACAAATTGGCAACGATACCTTCAACCACCACCACTCCCCCATGGCGTCACATTCCCTCAATAATTATTCCCTTAGCGAGATCTTATCGTAATTATTATGCTATATCAACTAGATAATGTACATATATATCTATTTTTTAAGACATAGCTGGTATTTAGAAACTGAATTTGATCGTAAGATATTGGCGGCAACCACACAGGCGGCCCTGGCTCTCTGGCCCTCGGGGAAATAATTAACGACAAGTGACGGAGGGAGGCGTGTGCACTATGGCTGACCTCTGCTATATTATCTTCGCTATATAACCCACCTCACACGCCTTCAATTATACAGGGTGTCTCAAACATCAAGAAATCAAGACAATGTTGATCTTTGTAGGAGAAATATTCACGAAATCTCGACTAAAATCTATACAACAGCCTTACAACAGTTCCTGACCCACCCTGTACAACAGCTTCTGACCCACCCTGTACAGCCGTGTGTCGTTTCTAACATAATGTTCCCCTGAGTTTGGGTGTGTTTTAGGCAGTCGCGATTGGCCGATCGTCTTCCACCGTATTAAGAATCTTTTCAGAATCACGAATAGCCAATTACGGCATCATATTTTGTAGCCAATCACGGAATTATATTTCGTAGCCAATCACGGCATCATATTTTGTAGCCAATCACGGCATTATATTTCGTAGCCAATCACGGCATTATATTTCGTAGCCAATCACGGCATCACATTTCGTAGCCAATCACGGCATCATATTTCGTAGCCAATCACGGCATCATATTTTGTAGCCAATCACGGTACATTATATTTCGCAGCCAATCACGGCATCATATTTGTAGCCAACTTGCATCAGTTAATTTTGTAGCCACTCACGGCATCACATTCGTAGCCAATCACGGCATCATATTTGTAGCCAAATCACGGCATCACATTTCGTAGCCAATCACGGCATCATATTTTGTAGCCAATCACGGCATCATACATTTTCGTAGCCAATCACGACATCATATTTCGTTAATCACGGCATCACATTTCGTAGCCAATCACGACATCAAATCTCCCCGTAGCCAATCACGACATCATATTTTGTAGCCAATCACGGCATCATATTTCGTAGCCAATCACGACATCATATTTCGTAGCCAATCACGGCATCACATTTTGTAGCCAATCACGGCATCATATTTCGTAGCCAATCACGGCACCATATTTTGTAGCCAATCACGACATCATATTCGTAGCCAATCACGACATCATATTTCGTAGCCAATCACGGCATCATACTTTGCAGCCAATCACGACATCATATTACCAATCACGACATCAAATCTCGTAGCCAATCACGACATCATATTTTGTAGCCAATCACGGCATCATATTTCGTGTAGCCAATCACGGCATCACATTTCGTAGCCAATCACGGCATCATATTTTTTAGCCAATCACGGCATCACATTTCGTAGCCAATCACGGCACCACATTTCGTAGCCAATCACGGCATCATATTTTTTAGCCAATCACGGCATCACATTTCGTAGCCAATCACTGTATCAGTATTCCGTCCAAGACTCACGACTAGCCAATCTTCCTGTCACGTATTTCTCCTGAGAACTAAGATTAGCTAATCATCTTTTGAGCGCCGCCAAGAGCGAAGTATCTTAATCTGCATTGAGGACATTAAGGTTAAGAGAGAGAGAGAGAGAGAGAGAGAGAGAGAGAGAGAGAGAGAGAGAGAGAGAGAGAGAGAGAGATCGCTTTATTTCATTCGTCGTAATACAAAAATACGACCTCGCAGTGTTACAAACGATAGCGGCTGATAACGTTGACAACACTGACAATGACCGCTAACGGAGCGCTAACAAATAATTAAAGTGATTGTTGGTGACTAATGGTACGTCCGTTGATTGTCCGTTGAGTGTCCGTTGATTGTCCGTTAACTCTACCTTAACTATATACGTTAACACCAGTTAGGAGACAAAATTAACTGGTGTTAAGTTAACGTATCTAGTTAAGGTAGAGTCTTAGTGTTAATTCTATGCCATTTTACATATTATTTCTATGTTAAGTGAACCAGTTAAGTACAAGCTCACTTATCCAGTTAAAAAGGAAAAGTGATCACTCGAACCTATAAAACTGAACCTCCAATCAGGTGTTCTAAAGTGAACCGTTAAGTAAGGGTTCAGTTATCGTAAAGTTAAACTCCCAACCACGTTATTGATGGACGAGGTTTAACATGTGGTCTAGCTCCCTCATTCATATACTCCCAATACCTCACCTGAGAGCTCATTAACCTGCCAATTTGTCACCTGGCTACATGTTCCCTCCAGGTAAATGCTGCAAAAGTTGTTCAAATTATAAATGGTATGAATATATGTGTGTGTGTGTGTGTGTGTGTGTGTGTGTGTGTGTGTGTGCGTGTGTGTGTGTGTGTGTGTGTGTGTGCGTGTGTGTAATCAATAATACTTACAGTCATACTACATAAAGAACTATATAATCTCCCATTGATATTTACTAAACTTTTTAATATATAAGACGAACTAAAATTTCTCTCCTGCTTTTTGAAATGTCCAGATAAAGCAGTGACAAGGAAAGCACGCGCACACACACAGTATTCAAAAGCTCCCCAATTGATCATTTCCAAACACCTGTGTAATGTGTCCGTTTGTCTGTCATTATTCCAGGTATATTCACAGCAAAGAGAAGCCCTTTAAATGCACAGACTGCGGTAAGGGCTTCTGCCAGAGCCGCACTTTGGCCGTCCACCGCATCTTACACATGGAGGAGTCGCCCCACAAGTGTTCAACCTGCGGCAGGAGTTTTAACCAGCGGAGTAACCTAAAGACGCATCTGTTGACTCATACAGACATCAAGCCTTACACCTGCCCCCAGTGTGATAAGGTGAGGACTACTCTCTGTCTGTCTGTCTGTCTGTGATGATAAGAATTACATATAATCCTTAACAATATCTCACTTAAACGATGGTAGCAGCCATTTTCTTGTAGTCTAATGAGATTTACCTGATGATTTGCCGTCCAGGTAATTTCATTTGTTAATTAATTACCCAAATATTACCTGGTGAGGGTAGGTTGTGTTTGGTTAGGTTGGTGTTCGGTTTTGGTTAAGTTAGATTGTTGTTTGGTTAGGTTACGTTGGTGTTCGGTTTTGGTTAGGTTAGGTTGGTGTTTAGGTTGGATTGGTGTTTGGTTAGGTTAGGTTAGGTTGGTGTTCGGTTTTGGGTTAGGTTAGGTTGGTGTTCGGTTTTGGTTAGGTTAGTAGGTTGGTTTCGGTTTTGTTAGGTTAGGTTAGGTTGGTGTTCGGTTTTGGTTAGGTTAGTTTGGTGTTTGGTTAGGTTAGGTTGTTGGTGTTTCGGTTTTAGTTAGGTTGGTATATTTGGTTAGATTGAAGTTTGGTTACGTTAGGTTAGGTTAGCATTGGGGTGGTTCATCTTCAGGTGATCGGAAATATCTTACAAAGTTTAAGAACCACAAGATAAGTTACGGTAGTGAGAGAAGGAGGAGCAGTACCTCAGTGTACCTCGTGTAGCTCAGTGTAGCTCAGTGTACCTCGTGTAGCTCAGTGTAGCTCAGTGTACCTCAGTGTAGCTCAGTGTAGCTCAGTGTACCTCAGTGTAGCTCAGTGTACCTCCTGCTACAGGTACACGTTACACCTCCCTGTTCTTGGCCTCCTACAGGTATTCCGCCGTAACTGTGACCTACGACGCCACGCCCTCACCCACAACCTGACCTCACCCCTAGACCTTGACCTCAGTTCCCTCCCTCCGACCTCCTCTGATGCCTCCCTACTGGGCCTTGACCTACCGTCCTCTCACCACCACCACCACCATCACTCCCTCTCCCCGGCAGCAGGTTCGTCAGGTCCTGCCGGCGGCCATGACGAAGAGCATGACGATAAGGACTCCACCAGCCTTGCCGCAGCTGCTGTCGCCGCCGCTGCCGCAGCCGCCGCCCGCACCTACAGCAGCAGTAGTGACGAGGAGGAAGTAGCCAGGGCAGGCAAGCGCTCCAAGGTGGGTCTCTACAGGGAACCTCCCTATAACGGACTTCTCTCTGTATATAATCCGTTAGATGGAGGGGTTTACGTCTAACGGACTCTCTATATAACGGACTTTCATCTTTATATACAGTAGTCCGTTAGATGATTTCACATGACCCTCGATATAACGGACTTTCATCTCTTATAGTTCGTTAGATGGAGGGATTTACGTCTAACGGACTCTCGATATAAGGGATTTTCCTCTACGTGTAATCTGTTAAATAGATGTTTACTGTAATCGACGATGTTAATTACCTTAATAAACACTTTTAACCTTTCTTAAAACCTTAAAAATTCAACATAAACATTAGGCGGAATGTTAACAAAATAAGTCTGTGGCTGTGGTCGCCAACCCTCAGTACACGACTTCCCATTCATTAATACTATTAATACTGAGTCGTAGTTGATAATTAAGTCAATGAATAACACTAATAATGTTTTCCTTAATTAAAATTCAATGTAAAAGATTGTAATACATGCACAACTTTAATTAGCATCTACCTTTACCTGTGTCGTGTTTAATATAACATTTTCCTTCTTTTTTCTTCTCCAGATCGACCGAGTTTTTCCCGACACGGAAGACTCAGTCGCTGGTGTAGACTTTGACGACGATGATGACGAAGACGATGACGTAGACTTCGGGAAAGATGACCTGGCGGAGGAAGACGATGATGATGACAGTAATCACTCCAGCCCTCCGACACTCCTGGGGAGGTTTAGGTCCCAGACGCAGAAGGAGTCGCTGAACTTGGGAGCGTCTACCTCTGCCTCCCTCGCCTCCTTCAGTATAGCTTCCATCATGGGTGGTGGGGATTAACTCCTGGATGTTTATATATATATAAAAATAACCTTTAGAAGTTAGATAAAACGTTGTCCGAATTGATGTAGGTAGAGACGTGAGGAGGGAGGAGGGTGACAGACCGACTACCACTGGTCTAGAAAATGTCTTTGTGGTCTTTGATAATTTATAAATGCTATTCAAGTGATTCCAAATTATTCCGAGTGACTTAATGTGATCTTTAGTGGTTCCGAGTTACTCCGGGTAGACTGAGTGTGTTGTAGTCCCAAGTGTGTGTACTGTTGAGTGACTCCAAGCACTGGTGACATCATGGGACCCCAGGAAACTCCCAAGAGGTTCCCAAAGAGCCCAAGTTACTCACGTTGGTCTTGAGTGGCCGTGAGTGGCCCGGGTACCTGAGTGACAAGCAGGAGTCAGTGGCCGGGGTACCTGAGTGGCCAGCAGGAGTGGAGGCAAAACGATAACTTGGTTGTGTGACCGACGACCACCACAACAAACACCTGTTCTGTTGTTGCTCTGGTGAGGATGGCGTCGAGGATCTTGAGCCGTGAAGGAGAGGTCCTGCCACGATCATCTAGTCACGTGACGAAGGGGCGCCTTCAGGAGATATGGCGCCGCCGAACCTCTGCCTAGGCTGGCGGAGGATAGTCTACTGTAGTGGGCGTATATAGCAAACATTTTTACACGCTTCAGGTTACAGCATAACTTAGAAGACTGTACTTATAGATATAGGGCATCATAAACAAAGGTATGTGTGTGTGTGTGTGTGTGTGTGTGTGTGTGTGTGTGCGTGAGTGTGTGTGGTCGAGGTTGTATGGCTATGGACGACAACCATACAGCAGCATTACCCCCCCGGCCCCTCATAGTGGCGGAAGGACCCTGTTGTTCCTCACCTCTCTCGGAGGGAGAGGAGAGTGTGTCAGCGGCGGCGTCCCTCAGGTCACACTCCTGCGTCCCGCCTTGTTTGTGAGACCAGCCAGACCTTGACGTCAGGACAATTTTAACTATACCGAAGACCCGAGTGAAGTGTTGGTGGTGTGTTAGCGCTGTTGTTGTCAGTCGCCGCAGATTCTAGGAGGTAACCAGCCAGCCATGACAACTGTAATACTGACAACAGTGAGGGAAGACTCCTGGTGTTGGTAGACGGTGTCACGCCTCCTGGACAACCTCTGAACGATGCAAGGTGTGAGTGTTGTGTTAAGGTCCTGCTGGAGGGAGGCGTTCTTGTCCTAGGTAATCCACAGTCAACTACATCGCTCACGAACGCAAGACTTGATAACAATCTTTGAACAAAACGTAGTTACTTCTCCCACGGTTTTTAACGATGAGATTATACGTTAATAATCTACGTCTGGTATAACAAAGGAACTATAATTCCAACACTAGAAAGACTAAAGGGACTTTTATATAATTGGTATAATAATCTATGAATCTGCCTGTGGATAAGCGTACACAGGAAGGCCTCAGCGCATGTTGTTGTGGTAGTAACCGACCGCTGGCAGGTGACATTATTCAATACCTCAGCATAATAATTTATTCTTGATGTTTTTAGTAGATTTTAGCTGTGTATAATCTGTGTGTGTGTGTGTGAGTGTGTGTGTGTGTGTAAATGTGTGTAAGTGTATTGGTCACCTGTACTGTATATAGTTTCTCTACACAGAACTATGTAGAGTGTCTCTGTGTGTGTCAAGTCCATCATAAGTGTGTGTAGGAAGACTCAGAACAATATTGTGTTGTGTTTAATGCACTGTTGGACTCCCTCTCCCTCCCTCACACCAGTACCTCCCACAACACACACTATGGGTCGCCCTCCACACCCCTCCTCCTCTCCCTCCCCTCACCAGTACCTCCCACACACTATGGGTCGCCCTCCACCCCTCCCCCTCTACCTCCCTCACACCAGTACCTCCCACAACACACTATGGGTCGCCCTCCACCCCTCCCCCCTCTCCCTCCCCTCACACCAGTACCTCCCACACAACACACTATGGGTCGCCCTCCACACCTCCTCCCCATCTCTACCTCCCTCACACCAGTACCTCCCACCAACACACTATGGGTCGCCCTCCACCCCTCCTCCCTCTACCTCCCCTCACTCTCCCTCCCCCCCAACACACTATGGGTCGCCCTCCACACACCCTCCCTCCTACCTCCTCACTCTCCCTCACACTACCAAAACACTATGGGTCGCCCTCCCACCCTCCTCCCTCTACCTCCTCACTCTCCCTCCCACACACAACACACTGGGTCGCCCTCCACACCCTCCTCCCTCTACCTCCCTCACTCTCCCTCCCACACAACACACTATGGGTCGCCCTCCACACCCTCCCCCATCTACCTCCCTCACTCTCCCTCACACTACCAACACACTATGGGTCGCCCTCCACCTAGTATGGCTGACCACCTTGAGTCACTCCCTGTGTCCACTGTATTAATGTTAACTTAAATAAACCTGTGAATATCTGCTGCTGTGTTTGTCTTCACCTTCACTCATGAGTAATACACCTGGCGGCGAATATACCAAGAGGCGAATATTACCTCAAAGTATTATACCTGGGGATACCAAGAGGCGAATATTACCTTAAAGTATTACACCTGGCGGAGAATATACCAAGAGAATATTACCTTAAAGTATTACACCTGGCGGCAATATACCAAGAGGCGAATATTACCTTAAGAGTATTATGCCAGGTGGCGAATATACCAAGGCGAATATTACCTCAAATATTACACCTGGAGGAGAATATTGCCTTAAAATTATTATACCTGGAGGCGAATATTACCTTAAAGTATTATGCCTGGGCGAATATTATCCTAAAGTATTACACTATAAATATTTAAATAAAATCGAATATTATTCAGTCATGAGGTAAATATTTGAGAATAAAAATATTGTCAGAAAATATTTACTCAAAAGTATTCCTCCAAAACACAAACATAAAACCAATATTATTTAGCCATGATAAATATTAAATTATTTATAAATATTGTAAATAAATATTGGACTATATAAATATCCTCCAGGTTTATGTGAAATATTTAACAATAAAATAAATATATCAGAAAATATTTAAATAAACTGAGTATTTTATTTAATTATGTGATGTATTAAATTCTTATATTACTTTCTCTTAAATATTGAATAGAAGACAAATATTTTTCAGTTTTATAAGATAATTAATAATAAAATAAATATTATCAAAATTGATTTTAAACCCCAAAATAAAATATTCTTTAAAGTATTGTTGAAATTATATCCAGTAAATATTCTCAGTTAAAATTCAAATATTAAATATAAAATATTCTTAATTACAAATAAATATTCCCAGAAACTTTTTAACATTATTTGACCCCAAAAATAATATCAAAAGTTTTCTGCCATAAATCATAAAATAATATTCGTGTAATTATTATGTAGAAAAATAATATTCTGAAAAATAATGGAAAAAATATTTAATACTGAAAAAATATTCAAAGAAATATTTATATAGAAGTAAAATTTTTGAAAGTTTTAGAGAAAATAAAATAAAATAGGAAATTTAGCAAGAAAATAAATTTAGTGAAATATATAATCAGAAAAGTATTTAACCCTGAAATTAATATAGTAAAAAATATTAATATTCTAGGATATATTTCACCATAAAGAAAATATTATACAATTATTTACCTAAAACTAATAAAAGTATTTAAACAAAGGATGAATATTATAAAAAGTGTTAAACAAAAGACGGAAAATATAAAAAATAGTACGAAAATAACAAAATTATCGTAATGAAACCTAAACAAACCCACCCAAACCCACCAGAACCCACCCAAACCCACCACAACCCACCAAACCACCAGAACCCACCAAACCCACCAGAACCCACAAACCCACCAGAACCCACCAAACCCACCAGAACCCACAAACCCACCAGAACCCACCAAACCCACCAGAACCCACCAAACCAGAACCCACCAAACCACCAGAACCCACCAAACCAGAACCCACAAACCCCACAGAACCACCAAAACCCACCAGAACCCACCAAACCACCAGAACCCACCAAACCCACCAGAACCCACCAAAACCCACCAGAACCCACAAAACCCACCAGAACCCACCAAACCACAGAACCCACCAAAACCACCAGAACCCACCAAACCCACAGAACCCACCAACCCACCAGAACCCACCAAAACCCACCCAAACCCACCAGAACCCACCAAAACCCACCAGAACCCACAAAATCCACAAAACCCCCAAAACCTCACAGAACCCACCAAAACCACCCAAAAACCCAAACCCACTTAAAACACCAAAAACCGCCCAAACCCGCTAAAACCCGCCAAACCCACCAGAACTCGCCCCAAACCCCACCAAGACACGCCGTAAACATTAACTGATCGTCCGTGGCGGCTCTCTCAACCAATCACACGCCTCCCTGAGTCTAAATCTACTTATCACGTGACTGGCGGCCGACCATTCAGCCAATCACGATGGAGTTTAATTCTACGGATTAGGAGACGAATGGGAGGGGGAGGAAGAGGGTAGGGAGGTTGAGTGAGGAGGAGGAAGGGGGAGGAGGAAGGTTGGTTCACTATGGAAACACGAAAGAAATCCATTGAAAGATTCTCAATGTAAACTTGATGGTATGTATTTTTATTTCACTCTCTCTCTCTCTCTCTCTCTCTCTCTCTCTCTCTCTCTCTCGCTGGCTCTTACATACACAGAAAGTATACAAGGTCATGTTGAAAGCAAAATATATGTAGCAAGTATGTAAAGTTTGTTAGGAAGTATACAAAGTTTGTGTAATGTGTGAGAGTTCTTACAATATTTATTTTGCCACTAACAAACAGAGGTGACCTTGCCTATGACGAGGGGATTATACCTCTCCCCACCCTCTCCACCTCTCACACGCCTTCCATCTCTCGCACACCTTCCATCTCTCACACGCCTTCCACCTCTCACACGCCTTCCACCTCTCGCACGCCTCCCACCTCTCGCACACGCCTTCCACCTCTCTGCCTCCCACCTCTCGCACACGCCTTCCACCTCTCGCACACGCCTTCCACCTCTGCACACGCCTCCCACCTCTCGCACACGCCTTCCATCTCTCGCACGCCTTCCATCTCGCACACGCCTTCCATCTCTCGCAGCCTTCCACCTCTCACACGCCTTCCATCTCTCGCACACGCCTTCCATCTCTCGCACGCCTTCCACCTCTCACGCCTTCCACCTCTCGCACACGCCTTCCACCTCTCACACGCCTTCCACCTCTCCCCACCTTCCACCACTCTCGCCTTCCACCTCTCGCACACGTTCCACCTCTCGCACACGCCTTCCCTCTCCTCACGCCTTCCATCTCCTCTACGCCTCCACCTCCTCACACACCTTCCACCTCTCACACGCTCCTTCCACCTCTCCACACGCCTCCCACCTCTCGCACACACCTCCCACCTCTCGCACACGCCTCCCACCTCTCGCACGCCTCACCTCTCGCACACGCCTCCCACCTCTCCACACGCCTCCCACCTCTCGCACGCCTCCCACCTCTCGCACACGCCTTCCACCTGCGGCAGCCATCCACCACCACGCCTCGCACACGCATTGTCGCCACGGACATGAAAACACACGCTATGTATACGTACACGCACGTTATAGTCACGGACATACAGAGCAAGGACTTGGGAACACGCCACGGACAGAAACACGCCCTCCACGTAAGGACACGCACTCACGGACAAGCACGCAGACACGAACACACTTCACGAACATACACCAAGGACAAGAACACTCTCTACGGACAAGAATACATACACGTACTGATCACACACACGCACACGCACACACACACACACACACACAGACACACACACACACACACAGTAGCCGTCATTACAACTTATTACAAAATATGGCTGGCATAATAGTGTTAACCCACTCCCTCCCTCCCCCCCTCCCTCCCCTCCCCTCCCTCTCTCCCCTCCTCCTCCCTCTCTCCCCTTTCCTTCCCCCTTCCTCCATCCTCCTCCTTTCTCCAATCACCTAAATAATCGTGTCATAATTGAGGTAAAATAATCGTGTCATAATTTATTGGTAAGACGACAGGTGAACGATGCGGTAATTACTGTGAGGGAGGTGAGCCAGACAGGTGAGCCAGGTAGGTGAGCCAGGTAGGTGAGCCAGGCAGGTGAGCCAGGCAGGTGAAACAGACAGGTGAGCCAGGTAGGTGGAGCCAGGGCAGGTGAGCCAGGCAGGTGAGACAGACAGGTGAGCCAGGTAGGTGAGCCAGGTAGGTGAGCCAGGCAGGTGAGACAGACAGGTGAGCCAGGTAGGTGAGCCAGGCAGGTGAGCCAGACAGGTAAGGTGACGCTGATAACCTCTCACGTGCCTCTATGACATACACTCATACATACATTAACCCGCACACATTAACACACACGTACAGACATAAACATACACACGTACATACATTAACATACACATATACATACACACATTCACATACACACATACATATACAATATCATACATACAGAGAGAGAGGAGAGAGAGAGAGAGAGAGAGAGAGAGAGAGAGAGAGAGGATGAGAGCAAGAGATAATTTGACACGAGAAAATTAATAAGGGGAGAGAGGAAGAGGGAAGGAGGAGGAAGAAGAGGAAGAGCGGTGGGCGGCAGGAGGAGGGCAGCAGCGGGAGGGAGAGTGGCAGTGGCGGCAGGAGGAGCAGCACGCTGCAGCAGGAGGAGCAGCAGGCTGCAGAGAGGAGCAGCAGGCTGCAGGGAGGAGCAGCATGCTGCAGCAGGAGGGGAGCGGCAGGCTGCGGCAGGAGGAGCG